AAAAAAAAAATGTGAGCTCCACTTTTAAGCTTGGCTAAATCTATATATTAGCTTTTAACAGTTCTTCCAGTTATTAAGTGTTCTCCACCTAGTATTGATAATCTGTGAGTCCTAAACTCTTTTTGGAATATGCAAGTCAAGAGCCTTTCGTTGGCACAAAAATTTTCTTAATCAATGTTTCCTGCTACAGTATATTCATGCATGAACTTAAGTACTTATTGCTTGGGATATTAGTGTGGCTAAATGCAGTTAAGGCTTAAATGTAACTTGGAACAATGCTGGCTGGTAATTTGTTTGGTTTCCCTGATAGTTTCCAGGTACACATTTATACTTGTGGGTGTGTAGAGTAACAATAAAATGTAATTTGTCTGCCCAGAACATGGCACAAGGAAGCTTTTGGCTTTTCATTCAGAACTCAACACACTATAAATTAAGCTGCGTATGTAATACAGGGATTGTTTTGTTTCATATAAAGTAGTGATATACAGTGGTGTGGCTGAGAAAGTGTTCATTGATGGCTTTCTTCTGAATTACCAGGAGCTAAGAATTGAAGATTATGAAGCTGGACGTAAAACAGGAGCAACTGGAGCAACTGGAGCAACTGGCTCAACTGGTTTTCCAGGTCTGGCCACAAGTTCAGCTGCAGGAAGTCTGTTTGGAAATACAGCTTCCACAGGATTCGGTGCTGCACAGAAACCAGCAACTGGGTTTGGAACTACAGGTCTGTAAATAGTTGTGATATTACTAGAGTCATGTGAACTTAAAGATCTTTAGCCCTTCATTTCCCATTCCAACATCTGAATTGTGATTTTACTTTTTAGCTCTGGTTTGTTTTTTCTACAAACCAGTATAGAGTTTTGCATTGTATCATTTAAATATAGGCAATATCTTCTACTGTAGATAAGTTTGTTAATCTCAATACAATGTAACAGTTTGCTGTATGATATACTGATAATTTGCCCAGAGAGTATACCTTACAAATTTGGAGAAGTTGAGGTATCACAGAATGAAAATTAGTGTTTTCATTTAAACTGAGATGGTGTAAAAATTGTGCATGCTACCCTGTAAAAGTTTACATTTTCTTAAAGCTTAATGAACACTGGTTTCAGATATATAATTTTTTCTTAATTTTTACCATTGAACACAATGGGAGCTTATTCATTCACACCAAGATGTTTTACAAGATAAGTTTATTTGATGACGCATTCTAATCAATATATTTCCTTTTAATCGGAGAGTGATTTGCACACTCTGAAAAAAAAAAATTGTGTCTGGGATTTGTATTTTAACCCTTTAAGCCCCAGTAGTGACCTAGACAGAATTTCTCCTTACTCTATTGGTATGATATCAAGCAGACAAGTAATGAGAATAAAGAAAAATATCAACACACCATAAATATTGGTTGATCCAATTCCAAATTCTTTAAACTAACGTCACATGAATTGTATGGCAGACAGTAAGGAGAATTACTGATGAAATCTTGGGAGTTAAAGGGTTAACACCTTGTTAAATTTTTTAATTTTGTTTAACTTCAAAGTAGCACTTTTGAGCAAAGTTTTCACTCAAGAAAAAAGGGAAAAATGGAAAATTGGGACACTCTTTTATAATTCTGCCATGATCTCCTAACTGTATGAAAATTGACCAAATATCAGCCAAGAATAAACTCTTCAAAGATCAGATACAAAATATGATTAAACTATGAAATGGTGTAATTCCTGTAGCTCTTTGAAGAAGATATTTTGATAGTTATTCTTCAAGGATTCTAGTGATACTGCATTTGTAAGATCTGTTCTAAAGTTGACAAGTAGTAACTGTGAAACGTCCTCTGTAGACTATAAAAAAGCATAACACTAGACTCCTGGTTATTAGCATCAGAAATAACCCTGCTGCTCTTTTTTTGTTGCTTAAAAACACACCCTAAATTCTCCATATCAATGTAAATTGGCCACCACAAAGAGTTTTAAAGCTGACATTTTGAGCATTACCCTTTTTCAGAGAAAACAGTAAACAATTATTGATCCATATATGTCAGAAACATGGTTTAGTTTCATTTTGCAGGCGTGTTTGGTGCTGGTAATACCACAACCTCTGGTCTGTTTGCCCAACAACAACAAACAACTGGAGGGCTCTTTGCTCAGCAGAAAACAGGGGGACTGTTTGGGGCTCAAACATCAAGTGCTGGTGCCCCTGCATTTGCTACAGGTTTTGGTACAGGTGTCTTTGGACAGACCTCCAGTGGACAGACAGTAAGACTTCTTTGTTTTCTATTTTTGCTGTAAGAAGCTACTGCAGGCAGTTTTCTCCTTTACAGGTGGTAACCAGTAAAACTTACTGCCTATGTTACCTCTTATTTCTGTCTAAAATCGCTTGGAATTCTTGGAAATTCAACGGGTGAAGGATTGCTCTACTGGTTTGAAAGTTTCTTTTACCTGTCATACTTAAAATAAGGGAGAACACTAGTTGGTCAGGTACATTTACATTAGGGGAAGCATGAAAATTTTCATCCAAACATACCTAAACCATGCCTTTGGAGTTACAGTTTTGTGGTGTTGATTTCTGATCTTGTTGTTGATTTTTAATTGCGACTTTTCTCATTAAATTTAGACTCAGTCTGGTCTCTTTGGTGGAACATCCACATCTACTGGCACTGGTTTGTTTGCAACACAAAGTTCAGGTTTTGGCCAAACACAGACTGGAACAGGGGGACTTTTTGGACAAACAGGATTTGGGCTGGGTCAGCAGCAGGTTAGTTCTCCTAAAATCTAAAAACTCAGTTAATATTCACCTATAGCGTTGCCAAAAATTCACAATCAGAGATTAAGGATTAAATTGACATTGGTTTTTTGTTTTGTGTCAGTCAACAGCATTTGGAAAACCATTTGGTGGTAAGTACAGTGTACATTTTATGTTTAATTCTTTGCAACCATATGATGTGGAGTTGAAGGAGTGACAAAGGATAGACCAGTTACTCATCCAGAAGAATTAACAATGCTCACAGTTACTAAGTGTTATGGATTAATCTCCTTTTTAAACTGTACATTTTTGTTGTTATGTGACAATGTGTGTTAATATGTAACTTTAAGAACTACAGCATGACTCAAGCCTCAAATTTTTCTTGTGTTAGCTTTGGGTACTGGTGCAACTGGAACTTTGTTTGGTGCACAGAATAAACCTGCAACAGGTTTCAACTTTGGAGCCAGTGCAGGAGGACTAGGAACCAGTGCATTTAATACTGCAACAAGCCAAGCTGGAGGACTTTTTGGTGCCAAACCTACTACATTTGGGACAGGAACAGCATTTGGTACTAATACAGGCACAGGATTGTTTGGAACCACAGGCACCCTAGGGGCAGGAACAGGATTGAACGCAGGGACACTAGGTACTAGTAAGGAGAGCGCTGCTGACAGTACTTGTTCACTTTTAAATGTTGATCTTGTTTTATGAAACAACTGACAGAGATATCAAACATGCTCTGACTGGTGAATTACGTCTTGAAACAACTGAAACCTGGATCATTTTTGTCATTATATTTATGAAAGCAGTAGGCAGGGATATTGAACATGCTCTGATTGGTCATTTGCATCTTAAAACAACTGAAACCTGGGTCATTTTTGTCATTATATTTATGAAAGCAATAGACAGGGATATTGAACATGCTCTGATTGGTAATTTGCATCTTAAAACAACTAAAACCTAGATCATTTTTGTCATTATATTTATGTAAGCAGTAGAGTGTTGGATTGAGGAGAAACCCATTGTTTTCATTGTTTTTCTTTCTTGCTTGATTGTTATGGTGGTAAACCCATCAGAAATGTGGTCTGTTGATTATAAGAAATGCAAGCTTGCTTACTGCGGAGAGTGTAAAATGTATACTGAAGAGTACACAGTGGAACTCGCTTTTTTTTTTCAGTTGCATTCTTCACTTTATTTCAGGTACTTTTGGCACCCTAGGCGCTCAACAAACAAGTTTGTTTGGAGGAAATGCTTTAGGAGGGTAAGAAACTTCTTTTCTAACAATTATTGTAATGCAGTCTGAAATATTTGTAGTGTGCTGTGAGATTTGTCTTGTTGCTTGATATTCAATGTACATGAACATGTACATGCAGAAGTAACATACATGAAAAACTGACCACTTGCACTGTGAAGTTGTAGTCTATATAACCCTTGGTGGTTCAATTTTTTCCTTGGTTTAAAATTTTGAACACCAGCCTATTTCAATTTTTCTCTGTCTTGTATACATTTTTTATCAACTGAACAGAAATTTCAACGAGAACAAAATAAGAACTACCAAGCGGCAGGTTTTGCTAGCAACTCTGCAAGGCTTTTCGGTTGCTTCAGTTGTCAGTTTCAGATGTAACCATGTAAACCGTACTGTCTATCTCTTAGGAGTTGTCATCCTCTCAGGAGCCTGTATTGGTGTCTGTTTTTGTTTTTTAACTACTGAAAGAATACCCTATTCAAATTTAAGTATCTACATTGCCTTTGTTATCAGAATTTTAGGAAAAACTTGTCCTTCTTTTAGTAATTTAATTCATATAAAGCAGCTATTGGTGTATATGCATGTTTGGTTATCATTTGATTGTTTTCCACGTTCTAGCAACCAAAATACAGCATTGACCACTTTGCAGCAACAACAACAGCAAAAGGTTCTGGAGCAACAACTTTTGATCCTGTCAAACTCACCATTTGGTGACTCACCATTATTCCGAAATTCACTGTTGGTAAATATACAGAGGATTAAATAAATTTTCCACATTGAACTGTCCTGCATTTTTTTCTTTTACCTTACCATGTGGGAAACAAGTCATATTCAAGGGTTTTGCCCTTGATTGAGAGATTCAAAATTTTAGATAATTTTCTAGTTCTTTTTAAAATTTGGTCATGGAAAGGCTCTCCTTCTTCTTCAAACTATGTTTTAGTCAAGCAATCTCTTATATTTAACCAAATAAACTAAGAAATAGCAATATGAAATTTTGATTTGGAGATGGTAGGTGGTAGAGAAGGTGAGAACCAAGGTAAACTTCTAATGGATTGTGTGGATATCTGGAGGCAGGGTTCCCGAGAATGCTGATTTAATTTTTGCATGTAGAAGAGGGAGGATGCAACAATTCCTCCACCCCTCCCCCCTAGCTCTGCTGTTCTTTGTTATTATGATAATACATTTTACATTCATTTAGGAGAAATCCAAACCAGAAAGGGCCTCCACTGCTACTACATCCTCATTACAAAAGGTGGTTACCACACCTTCACACTACAAGGTACAGTATTAAATTACTATTTGTTCCAGAGGATATAATGTACCAAGCTGCATAGAACTTTCAGATATAGTAAAATGTCGGACTTAAAGTGGCAGTTACAATTACATGTTATCTGCAGTTGGACTGTGTTCCTGAGCAACTATTTCAATGATGTCTCACGACTTAAAAAAAAATTAAGAAATGTTGTATTATACAATTGTAGCATTATTTTCTCTAAAAAAAAGCTGTATTGACTAAAAAGACATTGGATCGCATTTCTGTTTTGTCCAACAAACCTCAGTGCAGACTCTAAATGTACTTCAAGTTAAGTTGAATGTGTGCATAATGCATGCATGTAATCATACAGATTTACAACAGACAGCTGTAGACCTTATTCCACAAGTAGCACTTTTTGTTATTATTGGAGGAAGGCAGAACCATTCACTGAGATAAAGACACAAATGAAGATTTCTAATTATATAGAAAAATGGAAATATAAAATAATTTGTTTTCTTTCAGGTTTCCCCTCGACCAGCGGCAAGAATAAAACCCAAGCCAATAAACAATCATACTATGAACAAGGTCAGTTATATGGTGTATGATCACTTGGTTTGAATTGTTTTGCCTGGTTTTTCTGATTTAACATTTTTTAGTTTTGTTTTTTGTTGTAAACGTTTTTTTGTTTCACTTGTAGTCCAAACTGTTTGAGGGCCTGGAGGAGGACTCTGGTCTTAGTCCTGACACATTTGTACCCAGAAAGAACATCAAAAAGCTTGTTTTAAAAACCAAGTCAAGCAAAGAAGTAAGTGGAGAGTGATAAGCATCACACAATCTTTGAGTCTCCTAAATACAGGTGTATTTGAAATATGCATGTAGTGTGTTTTGTTTGCAATTTGAATTCAGGTGGTAGTAAATAAAACAAGTTTTACTCTTTTTTTCCATTTTGCAGGTTATGTTTATTAAAACAAAATAGAACATATGAAATATTGAAGTCAGATGCAACTAATTTCTTGTAATTAATTTTAACCTTAAACTCCCCGAAGTGATTAATATGAAACTTCTCCCTATAATGTCCAGACATTATTCAGCAAATAGCAAATGAGAATACCCAAATGTATCAGGTAGAAGTTGTCATCCTGATCTAACACCAAATTCTCCTTACTTATTTACAAGAAATTGTGTAAAAGTTGGAGGGGAGAATTAACCATCAGATTTTGGGAGTTAAAGGGTTAGCTTATTTAATAAAAGATTATTGTCCAGGTGGCCAGATATTCTCTTGAAATTCCAACAAAACTTTGCACGCTGCTGCTAAGGATAAAATGATTTGCTTAAAAGGGGGAGATCATTGCACTCGTTTACTTGGTATGGCATTGAAGTATATGTTTGATTCATTCTTATTTCAGTCATTCAAGTATTCTTGTGCAAACCCAACTTGTAAAATGCATGTAACAAGGTTTTTGTTGTTTGAATTGCCTTTGAGACTAGGCTGAGTCTGTATCCATCCTATTTTTTTTTAAATTAATATTTATGTTAATGACTCCGAAAAGACTTACTTCTAGCATGGGCTGTTAGACTTGGTATGACTCCTCTGTCATAGATCATTGAATTGCCTCAAAACTTTTCATTGATAGACTTTTGCTGGACTCATTTCTTGTTGATAAATACACAGCTCTTACCAAAGTAACAATTTAAAAACAAGGGGTATAACTGTGCTTGTTTACCCGAAAACTGTCATTTCCATTACTTGTGAGCTTCAGGTAATAATATAATAATAATAATAATGTTATTTATCCAGGGAGCTCACATCACCAAAGGTGTT